CTGAATCTAGTCCAGATCCTGAGTCAATCGATCAAGAGGACCTGTAACACATAACAAGCCAATTTCCAGGCTAAATTTATAAGTTCATGGAAAGTAACCCCCCATATCACGAACTTACTTAAATCGTCCTAATTAATTTCGCATAAGTCTACCTTTAAGCAAGTGCCACTTGAAAGGTAGACCCTGGCAGAGTCTCCTCCATTTAGAGCGGACTTTCCAAAATTGCTACCTGTCAAAATATAATCTAACTCCTCTAAACTTAGAAAATTTCGGCAGCGCTTCCCGTAGGAAAAGTGCCCTCGCAGAATTTATACTAGCTCAAAAGTCCAACTTCTATTTCTAGAAGTCAAAAATTTGTCTAACTCCCTGGATTAGTAAAAATTTGGGCAGCACTTCCTCTAGAAAAAGGGATTTCCCAGATTTATACTAAGACAGTCATGAACTCATACATAAAATCTGAGTCCAACCAAGACAAATTTTAACTAACTCCTTAGATTTGTAGAAATTTCGACAGCGCTTCCCGTAGAGAAAGTGCTATTCTAAAATTTATACAAAGATAAGTTCAGAATCTAAAGTGATTTTGACTTTTCAAAGTCTAAAGTGATTTTGACTTTTCAAAGTCTAATTTTGTCCAACTCCCTGAATTAGCAAAAAATTGGGCATCACTCCCTTTAGAAAAGAAGATGTTCCAAATTTTTACTAAGCCAAAAAAGTCAAAAAAGTTAGACCCTGAACCCTGAAGAAGACGAAGTCTGACTACCTCCCTGGTTTCTTAGAAATTTCGGCAGCGCTTCCCGTAGAGGAAGTGGCTTACCAAGATTTATACAAGGCCAAGTATAACAAAAGATCCCAGAAAATGCAAAAACCGATCTAAGAAAAACAAAGACTTAGCTCAGAAAATGCAGGAATTGAAACTAGCTCCTATAACTCTAGCACGTGGCGAGCAACTAAAGCAACTACCTGTCAAACTGAAACTCAGACTAAGTAGTAACCTCATTCAGTAACATGCAGGCCAAGCCACAAAGGTAAGTGATCTCACCATCCCAAAGTCAACTTAGCAAACAATAGTTCATAGTCTTTCAATGATTTATCCCTCTATACCTAGCTTACATAAAGCATAAAGCTAGACCACCCAAACTTATAGAACCTGTCTAGCTCAGCCATAAAATATACACAAACACAGGGCACAACAACTTCTCTTCTTTGGGCATGTGACTAGTCCACCCTAGCCGCCCTGAACTGTTTAAATATCCAACCTTTATATACTTCTCTGCACTTAGTCTATTGAGGTAGCATATAACTGAGCCGATCATCTTCAACTCAAGACTCAGTCTGCCCCTTCGTACCACAAGTTTATTCTTAATTAGTACTCTCTTCAAATGGTGATAAGCTATAGTCAGACCACCCAAACTTATGGAACCTTATCTGACTAGCCTATTCATAAATAATATAATAACAAGGTATAGCCAAATTATAACCTTCTGGTTCCAACATGTGCGAGGCGTTGGACCAAGACCACCCAAACTAATGGAACATGTCTTGGTCCTCGACCTGGTTCATTTCTCTCCAAACCAAAGCAAGAAGAGGTTGAGCCTCCCAAACTTATGGAACATGCTCAGACCTCCTCGTTCAGGAACTAAAGAAACTGACAAAAACCCAAAGTAAACAAGGCGACCAAGCCACCCAAACTTATGGAACATGCTTGGTCCCTGAAGAGTCAACCACATTCAGCCCTCACAGGTCAGAGCAACCAAACCACCCAAACTTATGGAACATGTCTGGTCCTCCAGCCAATTCAAAAATAAACATAGCACTGGACCTTCCCAAACTTATGGAACTGGCCCATCCTTTGGTTGACCTAGTCAAACACATGCAATACAGCCTTTCTCCCATCCTCCCCCCCAAGATGCAACCCCACAACCTGCTTTCAGTCAAACAACAAAACTGAAACTGACATTGCGCATACATTCCTTTAACGAGTCTGGTTATGTCGTGAAAGTCAAACTGAAAGTCAAAGTAGGGATGCATGCAGTATACTCAGTCAGACATGCAATGGGCCATGCGGATAGGGGCTATAATCTGGGTTTATAGAGGGGGATGAAAAGTTACCTTACAATTCCTTGCCTCCAGAACTCCTCCCGAGTTCCGGCAGAGCTCCCGCAATCGGTGGGCTGACTCCCCACAGAGCCTTGCTGCGGTCCTACGGGTTGCAATCCCGCCTGCCGCCTTCCTCTCAGAACTGGATTAGACTTAAAGAGTAAGAAAGGCAGCAGATAAGGGGTTTCAGACGCTCGAGATACAAGACGGGGACAACTCAACTCTTTGGAGAGGGCCTTGATACCTTTACTCGCCTGAGGGTCCCGCAATGGCAACCAATGTAACAGCTTGGTCAACTTCTGACGCCAATTGTCAAGGTCAACCCTTTGCTGACTTCACAAATCGCGGCACTAACCCCCTACTTGTCCAGTCTGATCACCTCCCCGAGTCTCAACACCTCTCCTCAGCCCAATCGCCGCCGCATAGCAGTCTGTAACAGTTGGCAATAGCCCGCGGTAGCGTGCAGCAGTCTGCAGCAATCAATCAGCAGACAGCAGCTGGCGCAGCTACGGCTGCTTCTGCCAGTCAGCGCCCAGCCTCTTCTTCTTCTGCTTGTGCAGCTTGTCGACAAATCTTGGAAAATGTTTGGCAAACAAAAAAACTTCCAGCTAGCGCATTCTCCCTGCATGCTAGCGCACAAGTGCTTCAGCACTTCCACGCATCTATGCCGGTGGAAATCTGTCATGTGGGGAGGTTGGCCTGGTCTCTTATAGTGCTGGCCTCCCTTCATGAGGTCTGAATCAGTCTTCCTTGGGTCTTTCCCCAGTCCTAGACCACTGCAGAATGTGTCCCAGTACCTTTCCCTCAGGGTCTGCTGCTGCTGCGGCCTTTAGGCCTGAATTTTGGACTTTGGGTCTGAATCTGGACTGCCTGTTGGACTTCGACTTGGACTGAGACTCTACCCCATTGACTTCCATTCGAACAGACAACTTTTGCACGAACAGACACATCTACTGCACGAACAGACATGACTTACACAGCCCCCTGGACGAGCAGACGTGACTCCCACAATTGAATGCTGCAACTGTTCGTCCTGGGGCACAACTGTGACCTTTGACACAACTCTTCACTTCAGTAGGCTGTGACTTTTGACCCAGGCCGAGTGAGCCCCATCATGCTGCATTCGTCATTCAGGGTCTGAACGGGCAAAGGCCCTTTTAAATAATGTGAAAGGGCTCTCTCTCTCTCTCTCTCTCTCTCTTCCGCGCACACACATACACACATCATGGCCGCTTTTCTTTCTTTCTTCTTTCTTTTTCTTTTCCTTTTTTTTTTTCTCCTTCTCTCTTTTCCGCGCATCAGAAGTCAGTGCACCCCACTGCGCGGTGCACCTCAAATATGAGCCGCAGTATTTATTTTTGTTTTCAATCCGGCAATGATTTTCGACGTGACCCAGAGGCAAAAGTTGTTCAGTGTGATGACCCGACCAAACACGGACTGAGACACAGCTGATTTCTGAGTTTCCGGCTTGCTACTAAGTTCTCTAAGTCTTTGTGGGTACACGCTTGCTGATCTGCATGTCTGTCTGGCTTGAGTGTGTGTGACCCGCAAGGGCACTTGCTCGTTCGTTGGGCCCTCAGGGTACCGAGGCCGAGCAGAAGAAGACAGAAGTGGCATTTTTAGAGGCCCAGTAGTTGTAGGCTAGGTTTAGGCGGGTACCAGGGCAACCAGTCTGAGTCTAGGGCCTGTACGGGGTATATCAGTCTGCAACGATGTTTCCCTCCGAAAGGGAGGAGGTACTGGTTACTTGGAAGGCCAAGTGGCCTGGAAGTCACCACCCAAGAGGCAAGCAGGCCGCTATATCTCCAGGCTGCGCGAAGAGCCCAGCCTCATTGTCGGTATGCAAGTTTGGCGACACACTGGTTGGAGCGCTGCTGAGGGAAGGAGCAAGGACACGAAGGAGGAAGAAAACCAGGAGGAAGGGGGAGTGTCAGAGGTACTTACCTGGCTATGGTGGCAGCCATCTTCATCACCTTGGTGGGCGCTGCAGCAGGAAGGTCCCCGTTGCGGCAGAGCTACACCAAGAAGCTTCGAGACAGAGTCGGCATGGCGGCCTGAGCTAGAGCAGCCATAGCTGCTTTGGGTTGTCCGCCATAGCCTCGGCCTATGAGAGTGAAGAGCGAGGGAGGCAGCCATGGCTATGCTGGACCTCAAGTAATACCTGCAGTAGAAGAGGGATTCGGAGATTGATTCTGGTTCAGCCATTCAACATTGAATTATTATTTCTTGAGTGAATAAGAGAGGAGAGTGATTGGCGAAGAAGACGAGCTTTATTGTTTGTCTATGCTGGTGTACATCATCTTCTTCTTCTTTCTTTCTTCTTTTTCTTCTTCTTACCCTCTCTCTCCTCTCAAGTTCATTCATTTCTTTTTCGCAATTCGGGGGCATTGTACTATCTGATGAATGCGTACTTCGAAATTGGCCAGGATCATAACATCAGTCTGTTTTTCTGCTTGCCATTGTTCTTTCTTTTTTTTTTTCTTTTTTTTTTACAGGGACGTTCATTCATTTCTTTTTCGCAATTGGGGGGCATTGTACTATCTGATGAATGCGTACTTGTAAATTAGCCAGGATCATAACATCAGTCTGTTTTTCTGCTTGCCATAGTTCTTTGTTTGTTTGTTCTTTTTTTTACAGGGGCATTCCCCGGCCCTTCCCTGGCCAGGCCGCCAGGGCAACAGAGGTGACCCAAGCGGCCCGGTTGGTAACGCAGATTCTATTTCAATACATCATATGTTTCTTTACAGGTCAAGAGGTTAATAGATCCTCAGCTTTGAAGTGAGTCTACAAAGGGGATATATGTTCCCGCTTTCTATTACAACCTTTCCACATCTGCATTTAACCCACCACAGCATGTCTCAGTTCAGTCTACCTCATTCCTGCACGTCCATTGTATGTCTCACCTCTCTACCATCATTACATAGTCAGAAGCTTGCTGTCGCGCCCTTCCACGAGATTGAATGTGACTTCTAACCGTTGTTGACAAATCGAACCGAATGACTGATCTGCATTTCTGAACGTCCAACCCCTCCTCGATGACATCCGTGGCAAATAGTAACTGGATGGTCCCATTTCTGAATGTCTCGATGATGTCATTTTGCTTCTGACTGGTCAAGTATTTGACATTACCCTGCAACACAACCATCATTGTAGAATAAGTCATAAGGGTACAACAGATTGAAAAAGCACATCAACAGCACATGTAAATGAAGACTTGTTTCCTAGACAGAACAAAGCACAATCACTACCACAAGGAAATAAGCAATTGCTAGGAATATGAGTGTGAACGATATACAGAAAACGCGGAATCACAAAGATGTCCAAGTAGTCGTGTCCAAGCAGAGAGTACAAATGCACCAAGAAACCATCCATATAGAGCAATACAATGAAGTAATGAGCCAATGTTCAAGCCCGTAGGCCACACCAACACAGTATCCAAAGTCGCTCCTCTCTGTCTGGCGCTCAGCGCCCAGCCTACTCTACCCGACTATCCTACCTACAGCTGAGTTCACGCAACAGACTCACTTCGACTCTCGAAGACCAACGTACATCACTGTCAACACCATAGCTGACCTCCCTCCATGCACCAGGTACATATCTTGTCACCCTCAGTCGGACCTTGATTACCCCACACTCGCCTCCTTCCCTGAAGACCACCAGATCGCCCTGCTCACCCCCTAGCGCCCAGCAGCCCGGCTATGGCTGCTTGCACCCCGCTGCCCTGCAGCGCCCCGTCAACGCCCTTGGCCGCAGCGCAGCATCAAGCAGTAGCCAGTAGCACGTCCGCATTGCCTACGCAGGCCAGAATGCCTGGCCTGGGCTGCCTCACTTCTTTTATGAAAGTGGCAGCCTCCTGGATGCTGCGTGTGGCCTGGCTGGAAGCTTCCAGTAGCTTCCGGTTGGGCCTCAGTCCCTGCGACCAGACCCGAGCCTACAGTTGAGGGCCTGGGCACCTTTTACAGTTGGGCACGGCCTGAGTCTCCGGACTTGGGCTGTTTGCTGCATCTGTGCAGGGCTCCCAGGTAGGTACGTCGACAGTACTGCTTTTGCATAGGCCGATGGCCTGCTTCTCAATGTATCGGCCCTGCTTTGTGTGTATGTGCCCAGGCGCAACTGTCAAGGCCTGGGCCAACTGTACGACGCAGCTTAGTGAGGCTCGCATGTCCATTCAACCAACTGGCGAGTGTCGAATTTTGGCCTTTGACGAATATTCAGGCCCGCCTTCACTTAGTGCGGACACTTCGCTTGCCGGGGGCCTTTGCCCAGAACATGTGATGTCTGATAGGGCCCCATGAGGGCTTGTTCTTGCCATTCCATCCCCCCTAGCTTCGAAAGTCCACTGAGATGCTTCATGCTGGTGCCTTCCCCTTCAGTTTCTTCTCATATTCTGCCACGATTTGAGGAGCCGTCTTGACAAGTTCCTCCCTGGGAATCCATCGATCTTCCTTGGGATCAGTATGATGCCTGAAATGTACTATGTACTCCCTTGCAGGCTTAGGAGGTCTGCCCCTGCCAGGTGGCTTGGGAACAGGCGTGTCTCTGTGGTCCAGGATATCGTCGACATCCACGTGGGGGCAGCATAAATCTCCGTGATGGGAACTTTTCTGTCTCAGCGAAGGGTGCAAGCTTGGAGGCGTGTAAAACAGGGTAAGTGCGGAGGTGACCAGTGATACGAATGATGTACGAGGGACCATCCAAATCATTGCCCACAATATCTAAGACTTCCCAGGGACCGAAATACTGAGGCATTAGTTTCCTAGAGATGCCAAACTCCTGCTCCAGCACTAGCCTTAACCCATACGTTCCCCTACCTAGAATGTGGACTGTCAGCGATGCTTGTTCTCATAAGCAATCATGGCTTCCTGAGATTTCTTGATGTGTTCGACAGTCTGCTGCGACAATTTCTCGAACTGGACACCAAATTCAATGGTTCCAGGAGTTGCAGCAGTTTGGTTTTCAGGCAGGAGGAAGTCTAGAGCAGACCTAGGTTTCCATCCCAGATGTAGTTGATTAGGGCTGACGCCAATGGTGCTGTGTACAGCATTGCTGTACAGACAGTCATCCTAGTTGGGCTTGATGTAATGCCTCACCAGATGCTGCACCACCCGGTTCATCTGTTCAGCCTTCCCATTTGCTTCGGGATGATTCCCATAAGTCATATGAAGCTGGCTGCCCATCTGTTCAGCGGCCTTCTTCCACATCTCACTGGTAAACTGGACATCTCTATCGCTAACAGTGGTCTTTGGCAGTCCAAAGTCACGCACCCAATTGTTCATGAACAACATAATGACGTGCTCAGTCCTGACAGTCTCCGACATGGCAATTAGTCTAGCATACTTAGTGAACCTATCCACTATGACGAAGACGTGTCTCTTGCCATTCTTGCTGGTCACGAGAGTATCCATGAAATCCATGGAGATACTCTGCCCTGGGCTTGAGTAACCCAAGCGGAGCTTCAGTCCACGGCTTGTCCCGCAGACAGACCAAACAAGTCTGTACGTACTTCTTTGCATCGTCCATCATGTTAGGCCACCAGAATCGCTGTACTAAATTAGCACTAGTCTTCTTGTAGCCGAAATGTCCCGTTGCATCGTGGCACTCACCTAAAAATAAACTATGCAAAATTTCCCTAGACAGAACAACTAACCTCTTAAACCTAGCCTTTTCAAGAAAGAGTAACCCATCCACCATCACAAACTCGTTAGAGGTGGCCTTGTCTTTGGCCTGCAGTTTATTGATGATGTTCATCATGATGGGATCTTCTTTGTAGGCTTCCCCCAAAGATCTGAGTAACGTCCTCAAATAAGTCAAACTCAGAAACCAGCGCACCTAGGTAATCTGCCCTTCTAGACAACGCATATGCAACCTTGTTGTACTCTCCCTTCACATAGTCTAGTTTAAAGTCATACTGATATATGACTTCAATCCAGTGTTTGAGTACATTGGAGAGAACTGGTTGGGTCTCGATCCACTTGAGGGTCTGATGGTCAGTAGAAGAACCTTCCTAACAGATAGTGCCTCCAGTGGACAAGTGCCTTGTAGAGAGCGTTGAGTTCCCTCTCATAGGTGGACTTTGCCAACTTGTTTGATGGCATCTTTTTGCTGATATACTCGACCAGTCTCAACTTTTTCCTTTCCTGTTGAGCCAGCACTGCGCCAATGCCATATTGGCTTATATCAATTGTTACAACGAATGGCCTTTGCGGGTCGGGTACCATGAGAACTTCATGGTGTGTGAGAGCGTGCTTTAACCGCTTGAATGCTGCCTCGGACTCGTCGGTCCAGTCCCATGGTGTGTCAAGTCGAGTTAGATCAGTCAAGGGAGATGCGATCGTGCTATAGTGCTTTACGAAATTGTGGTAATATCCACACATCCCCAAGAATGATCTGACCTCGGTCACAGATTGGGGTCATGGCCAGTTACGTATGCTAGCCAGCTTTGCATCTTCGAGCCTAATCCCATTCACGGATACTTCATGACCCAAGTACAAGATTCGAGTGCGTCCAACCTCGCATTTCTTTAGGTTTATCTTATACTTGTGCTGCCAAAGGAGTGAAAGTACCTTGTCTACATGTTGAGCATGCTCCTCGGCAGTCTTACTAAAGATAAGTATGTCGTTGAGGTACACAACGACGAACTTATCCAAGTAGTCATGGAAGATCCTATTCACGGCGTGCTAGAATGTACCCGGGGCGGCCAAAGGGCATCACCACAAAGTCGTACAGACCGTACCTGGTCTGAAATGCGATTTTGTGTTGGTCCTCCAATCTTAGAGCAATCTGATGGTAGCCGAATTTTAGATCTATCTTGGTATAGTACTTACACCCCTGCACCCTATACAATAGGTCGTCGATGCGTTGTAGAGGCTCTGCGTTCTTACCGGTGATGGCATCGAGGCCTCAATAATCAATGCACATCCTTAGTGTCCCCCCTTTCTTTGGGACAAATAAGACTGGTGAGCCAAAGGGGAAGGTGTTAGGCCGAATCCAACCCTTTTCTGTGAGCTCTTTCAGTCGTCGCTGAAGCTCGTCCAACTCGGTCGGAGCTCTTTCACTTGTCGCTGAAGCTCGTCCAACTCGGCTGAACCTACCCAGGATAATCTCTATGGCATGGACAACCTCCCAATCTACAACTCTTGTATGCTCCTCAAACAAATCAGGGTACTTAGCGACGACGGTCTCGATCTCTGGAAGTGTTTTAATGACCTCCCCTTTCGCAGAGACATATACTAAGTACATATTTTCCTCTTTGTTCTATTTATAATAGTTGTAAAACGCAGGTGTGCATAAACACCCATAGGGTCTATTAACCTACCGCCTTTATATTTGGCTAGTCTAACGGTCCTCCCATCAGATAACTCCAGCTTTCACACCTTGTCACAATCAAACTGGGGCTTGGCAACCTCGAGGTAATACATGGTCGACAACATGTTGAAAGGCAAATCGTCGCTCACCAGGAATGATATCTTAGGAATTCTCTCTCCTTCTGGGTAGGAGACCACGACTTTAACGCAGTCCACCATCATGCGCTCCTTGTTGGCCAAAGTAGATGCTACCGGTCTACGAAGGCGTTGCACCCGGTCCTTTAGGCACAGTCTCTCAACGCAGTCGCGACTTATGAAGTTTTCCGTGGAGCCAATGTCTACGAAGGCACCGCACTTGCTGGCACCCACACCAACTTCCACAACGACCTGCTCCCTTCAAGGACCTCTACTTAGTGCCACCTAGGACTCACGAGGGTCCACTCACCTTGAAGGTCCTCTAAGGCTTCAGACACATCCAACCTACAGAGTATAGTTTGGTCCGAATGTGTCTGAGGGGTGACTAATCCTCTAAGGCTTCAGACACATCCAACCTACAGAGTATAGTTTGGTCCGAATGTGTCTGAGGGGTGACTAAGGAGTCAATAGCTTCGACCAACTCTTGAAAAGGGGAGGGTACATCACCCGCTTCAATGAGAGTAGAAGCAACTACAACTTCTGCTAACCCCGAGTGTTTCCCGAACTAGAGCTCGTAGAGGCCCCAGACTGAGAGGAAGAAAACCCACCCTTAGTAGGGATCTTTTGCAAGACCTTCGGGTTCTTGCACTTAAACTGTTGGTGGCCATACTCGCCGCATTTTATGCGAGCA